ATAAATAAAATAAATAAAATAAATAAAATAAATAAAATAAATAAAATAAATAAAATAAATAAAATAAATAAAATAAATAAAATAAATAAAATAAAAAAAATAAAATAAAATAAGCTAAATATAATTATATAAGTATATTAAAATTAAAATTATATTATATTTTATATATTATTTATATAAGAAAAATATATACATAATCAATTAATCTATAATTAATAATTTATTTATTATATCTAATTTAGAGTAGCTAACAGCCAGGTTAGGTTAATAGTAATAATTAAAAAATACAGCTAATAATTAAAGTATTTTATTAGAATTAATAATTATAAAAATATTTTATAAATAAATATATTATAAACTAAATATATATATTATAAATTAAATTTATTTTTAATATAATATATATTTAATATAGTAAAATACTAAACAGTTAAAAATTACTATAAAAAAAAATCTAAAATTAAGTAATTATATATTAAATATAGTTTAGCTATACTAGACTATAATATAGATATAAAATATATATATATATATATATATATAATATTTATTAGATTTTAAATTAGAAACAAGGATATACAGATTTTAATTAGTCTAAATATATTTTTTTTAAATTCAGTTTTTAACCTGTTTTTAAACTGTTAGCCACTCTAATCTAATTTTTTAACTAATAAATATAAATAATTAAAATAATAGTTATATCTTAACTTGACTTTCACTATATAGTTAAATTATTTTTAATATCTTAATCTAACTACTAGATTATAGTCAGGTTAAGCTACTCTAGCTGAAGTTAATACAGATTAACTAGTTTAAGTATTACTTCACCCCTGTTAAGTAGAATTACAGCTTTATATATATAAGGACTAAAATTCGATTATATATTTTGAAAATAATTAATAAAAAGTATTTGGAATAAAATTTCTCTTATTTCGGGTTCTCAATAACTTGCAGCTTCTTGCGACACCTATCGCTAGTCTAGTAGTGCGAACAGGGAAGAAAGCTGACTCCCGCCAGATTGCTGTCGCATGCCCAAGAGCGCGGCGCATATGGGTCATTTTATTGACTGAGAAGCACGCGACTGAGGGGCGGGACTGCTCGCGTGAGACCAAGCACTTTCATATGCCATTTCTCCGGTGCTCCGCAGGCCTCACAGCTTCGCTGGATGCGATCAGTGATTGTAGGGCAAACGAGTAAAATACTACTCAAAGTACCGTAGATCTTGCTACTGCGATGGTGATTTTGAAGATAAGATGCAAGTTTCCTCTCCCTGCTTGATCTGTTCAGCCCTCAAGCTCTATCTGTATCTCTTTTAGGATCCGCTAGACAGTCAGATGGATCAATAGTCAACATCATTATAGCTTAACTGCCCTACGAATATATAAAAACCATATATATCTTGAAGTTTATATTGTTTATTCAAACAAATAATAAGTTATTAGTTCTTCTAGTTGCTAAGATATAATAAAATAAAAGACTATTTTTCATATAGATTATAAAATAATCTGTTTGCTTACCGATCACATTACCGGGTCTTGGCGCTATGCCATGGTATTGCCATCCGTGACCTCACTGTAAACCGAAACGATAGCGCCGCCTGTGGAAATTCGCCCATATTGATTTTTGTCACATAGAAATGGTGTAAATAAGAATATGTCTAATCCGGTGCTCATGGACTAAGATATCTGTTTTGACCCAGTCTTCGTCTCTTTAGGTAAATTTAGGCCACTAATACACCACACTCTAGACAGAGAGTATAGAGCAACAATGAATAAACAAACAAAACTGACCATTAGACCAGCGAGTGTAAGTAATATAGCATTGTGTTGTCGGGCTGTTCCAGGAGTCTTTTGTGCAGCAAAAAGCTTGTTTATTGGAAATCTTCTTTATCATCTGAAGTCACACAATAGATCAAATTAGAAAGAAATTTGGCAACGTGCTGGCTTCGAAAGTCTATTAGGGCCTGTTCAAGGGTGGCGAACAATCATTCTGATCAAGCAGTTTGAATGGTTTCGCCCAGTAGTTACCGTGGAAAGATATGAGATGAGCTGTCGTGATGGGAAAGGTTAGGGGATGTGAGAATGCTACACCTCGGATTCTGCAAAATCTCCTCACCTAAGTTTGACCTACATTGAACATGGTTTACAATTGTGTTTTCCGGCTGATTGGCCTTGGACATCTACCTGATTCAAGACTCGAGGACTCGTGGTGCCATCAAAGCACGCAGTGAGATGCCGAGCCGTAGTTGTTTAAGTTTTACCAATCGTTTTTATGTATTGGAAGGACTTGATCAGTTTCAAGGATCACAGATAATTAAACCGAAACTATTAAGGATGAACCATACTCTAGGGACCTATTGTGCTTGGGGGACGGCCAATAGCTGTTCAAGAATGTACCTTGGATGTTAAATGTCTATTTTTCTTCAAACGGGTTATCTAAGGTGCTTGCCCTTACCAGATCCTTTACGCTTATTGAACAGTTTCTTGCCGATATGACATTGGGATCCCTGCATCTGCGGTGGGGGGAGCTGCTTATCCTAGCGTCCAATCCTGTGCTAGGCGCACCCCGAAGCCATAATGCTTGTCGATCAATTCCTGCCGTGCCTCCCGGGTGGGAGCCTCCAGGAACATCGCCGGCGACACCCACAAGCGGGTCATGATCCGCGGATTGGCGCCCGCATCGCGCAAGAGCTGGATCAATCTCTCGTTGTTTTTCAGGATCGCCTGCATCAGGGGGGTCTGCCCGCCGGGGTGCAAGGTAAGATCGGGGTTGACGCGCGGATCCGTCAACAGAATAGCTGCTAGGTCTTCGTCGTTATTTGCTACCGCTAAACCGAGGGCAGTCCGGTTTCGGTGAATCCGGTTTGGATCAATCTCGTCTCGGTTAACCACCAGGCGGAGGAGCTCGGGCTGCCGGTGAAGCACCGCACTATGGAGCACGGGCTGGACGGTGGTGCGACTATTGGTACCCAGGGAGGCGCCGCGCTTGAAGAGCATGAACACGATCTCAGTGTGGCCCTGCCGTGCGGCGGCGAGAAGAGCGGTCTCACCCTGATTAATTACCACGTCAATCTCCAAGTCCGGCTGCCGAGGGTCGTCGTGGTATGCGAGGAGGGTCCGGACGACGGCCGTGTGGCCACGGATGGCCGCCATGAACAGCGCAGTGCGGCCCGTGCTCTCTCGAAGGTTTGGGTTAGCACCATGAGCCAGGAGAAGCTCGACTATCGAGGCGTGTCCGTGGGTTGCTGCGAGGAACAGGGCTGTATATCGGTTCTTGTCAAATATATTGAGGTCGACCGGCGACGGTGATAGTAATGATACTTCCAGCAGAAGCCGGATTATCTCTAACGATCCATTCTCAGCTGCGAGGCTTATTACCGGCCGCTCTTTATCACGGGACTTGACATTGCGGTCAGCCCCAGCTTGAAGCGCCTTAAGGGCTGTAGAATAAAGGCTCTTTTGAACCCCGTATAGTAAGGCGGCGGATGCATTACGCTGATATAGATTCGCGACAAGCAGGCTGTAGACTCGGGAACTTATTTGAAGAAATACAGCGAGATCAGCTTGCGAGTCAATATATGATTCCAGCTGTAGAAGAAGTTCATTGGGCAGTGTATCCAGGGACATTTTGCTTTCAACGGGTGGAAATTGGTTTTGATGCCTTTGAGCGGCCAGAGAGGTTGGTGATTTGTAGTGTTTAAGTAACAAAAGTAGCGAGCTCTCACCTGCAAGCGGCGGGCACTAGTGTAACTTACGGTACTAGTGGCCCGAGTACAGTATATAGCAATACATAGCAGTACATAGCAGTACAATACAGCCACTTTTCAGTACACTTGAACAGGAACAACAAGTTTTAAAATCGCATGTCAATGTACTTACTGACTGTACTTGTCACCACATCAATAGGTCGCCTCCATTTCACAGGTAACAAAAAACACATACAAATCCTACTTGTTTAAAGTTGTATAATTTCTCCAGCTTCAATTATCAGGCTTTATACAATTCTAAAATTCTAAAAGAAGAATAGATGTTGTTATCTACCATAAGCTAGTCTAGAAGAAAAACACATTGTTTTTGGTAGAGTTCTTTTGAGAAAGTAAGATGTTGAACTTGCCTTATTAGCCAGGTATTTTGAGGGGCTACAAGCAATGGTAATCACAACCATGCAAGAATTCCATTCATGGATGAGAAAAGAGAAGAGAAAGGCCCGCAGGGCCTTCTCTCTGAGCTATGTACATTTATAGTGCCATGGGTGCCTCGGGCATCAATTTACAGTCAAATGACAGGCTGTTAAGGACTCTGTCACATTCCAGGGCATCATTTAAGATAGTTTTCTATATATACAATATCTTCAGTCCAAAAAACATCTATTTAGAGACCTTAGTATAAAAACACTGATTCTATAATTTAAAGATTAAATCTTTGATATTGTCCAAATTATATGACTTTGAGCAAAATAAATTATGTAATATAATCAGGAAGCAAGTGTTGTGTGTAAGTAAGTGGCTGTAGAGAGAAAAGGTCAGATTAAAATTAATTATAAATTTTTAATATTTTTATTAGATAATACTAGTTATTTACTTTAAATTTATATTATTATTTTTTATTTAGATATTATAATGATTAAAGTTGTATATTATTGTATTAATAAAAATAAAATAAAAAAAACTATAATTAATAAAATAAAATAAAGTTTTTTTATTTAAACTATATATAATTTATAAATATTTTTTTACTTTAATAATATCTTATTAATAGTAATTGTAGTGGTTCTGGTGTCTCTGAGGATTTTGGGTGTCTCTAAGAATTCTGCCTTCTGTCTAGAGTAGTTAACAGCCAGGTCAGGTTAATGGTAACAGTTAAAAAATACAGCTGATAGTTAAAGTATTTTATAAGAATTAATAATTATAAAAATATCTTATAAATAAATATATTATAAGTTAAATATATATATTATAAGCTAAATCTATTTTTAATATAATATATACCTAATATAGTAAAATACTAGACAGTTAAAAATTACTATAGAAAAAAGATCTGAAACTAATTAGTTATATATTAAATATAGCTTAGCTGTACTGGACTGTAATATAGATATAATATATATATATATATAATATATCTATTGGATTTTAAATTAGAAATAAGAATATACAGATTTTAATTAGTCTAAATACATTTTTTCAATATTCAGTTTTTAACCTGTTTTTTAACTGTTAGCTACTCTACTTCTGTCTTCAGACTGCTCTTGTCATGGTTAACCTATATAACTGAGTAGTTACCATAACAGAACACCCATACCTTAGTTATAAAATAGTTGTGATATTAATAATTTAGTAGAATCTGTATCTTAAATATCCAGGTCTTGCTATATACTAGAAAGATAAGGATTAGTTTATATCTATATAATACTAGTACTTAAATTCTATACCTAGCTGATCTTTTTCCTTTACAATAATCTAGTGCTATATATCATTAAAAAAAGAAAATTAGTTATAAATAATACAGATAAATAGAATAAAAGTCTATTAAATTAGTAGAGGCCAGAGGTACTGAGTACAGCTACCCCAGGTATTGGATAGCAATACTATAATCTATCTTTTACACTCTCCTGTGGTATAAAAGGAGTAGCCTTTATTTTTGTAAATAATAAGAATATAATTAACTATCTCTTTCTCTATTCTTGGTCTTTGAGATGCTTAATAATTTAGACTAAAAATAAATAAATAAGTATATCTATAGTATAATTAATAGAATTAGATAGATTAGATAACTAAGATATTTTCTTTATATATTTTTATATAACCTTTTTATTAAGGCTGTGAACTTAAAGTTTTTTAGATACTGATTTATTATTATATATATTATCAAATAAATACCTAATTTATTATCTTAAGCTAAAGATATTATATCTGAATTATTTTATATATAGTACTAATATTAAGAGTAAAAAATATTTATAATTATTATATATCTTTTTACCAGGATATATAATTACTGTATTTTAGAAAACAATTATAAAAATAATATTATATAAATCTAATATATTATAATAAAGTAGAATACTATATTTAATTTTATTTTTAAATTAATATATCTTAAAGAAAAAAAATAAAATTAAAGATTTTTATTCATAAATTAAATAATTTAATATATATTTTTAAAGAAGATATTATATTATCTATACTACTAAATCTTATTTAGTTTTTTTTAGATATTTCTAGAATAGTGTATTATATATATATTATAAAAAAAGAAGTTTTAAGAACTCTAGACTAGTTAAATATTTTAAAGTCTAAAAAAATAATAGATAGAAGAAGTATATATCTGGAATAATTATAAAATATTATTAATTAATAAATAAAATTTTTTAATAATTTTAATAAAAATTTAGATTAATATTATTAATACTTAAGAGTATATTATTATTAAAAAGTTTAAGTTTAATATAAGATAATTATTAACAGGATTAAATATTTTTTAAAGATTAGAAAAATAATAAAGATACCAGTTAAAATAAAAAGTAAAATAAATAATATTAGTAGTATATATTTTATTTAGATTATATTATTATATTATATAAACTCAGGTATATATTTAGGGTAATAGTTACTTCTTTAGTATTTACTCCTAGAGTAATCCGGGATTACTTAAAGATTATTTAGGATATATACTTTTATACTTTTCCCATACTCCGGGCTGCTCAGTGAGCAAAAAGCAGCACTAAGTTCGACCTAGAACAGAAAGGGAAAGTTGCTCAATTTCCGCAGCAATCCAGTTCGTTAGTACAGTACTAGGGACTCGGGACAATGTCCCTCGTGACGCGGCGGCCTCGCTCCGTACTGCTCTAGCGGGCACGACCTTGACGACCTTATCAACCATTCAGTTCATCCATAGCGCCATTGCTAGCTCGAGATATAAGCAACGACCTGATTTTTGTGGAGGCATGGTCTGACAATGGTCTCTGCGATATTAGTACTACTCCAGCTGGCGCTGGCGGCGCTCGTCGCCCATGTGATCTACTGCTGCTATTTCCACCCTCTAGCACGGTATCCAGGCCCCTTTCTGGCTCGCGTCACAAATATTTGGTATGCTGAACCCATCATTCGCGATCTATATACTTCGTTGATCGAGGTGGAGGAAAGTGTGAGAGTCTACGATGTCTCCTATCATGCTAAGACCTCGATCTGTAGGGGATTTACCAGTTTCCTCCGAGGCCAGCACCATCTATCGGAAGAGTCTCTGCACCGAAAACACGGTCCCGTCGTCCGCGTCGCACCCAATTGGCTCTCCTTTTCCCGGCTTGAGGACTTCGAAGCTATCTATGGAATCAACAAAGCGATCGAGAAAGGTGATTTCTACGCATTCGGGCAGAAGCGCAGCCAGAGCGAAGCCAGTGTATTCGCCGCGAAATCGAACCCGGTTCACCGGCAGAAGAAGCGGAAGATGCTCGGACCGGCGCTGACGAGCTCCAAGGTCGTGCGGTACGAGCCGATTATCACGAGGCATGTTGCGGGGTTGGTCGCCCGGCTTGATGCGCTGCAGCAGGAACAGGCGGACGGTTCCCTGACCGGCGGCGGCGCTGTCAATGTGGCGCCGCTTGTTCACCGCTTCACCGTGGATGTCATGTTGGATATCCTCTTCGGCTCGGCGGTGGGACCGCGGCCTTATACGGATGGTGATGGTGATGATGATGGCGCTGGCGACATCTGTACTGACCTGCGGAGGGTGAGCAAGATGGCGTGGAGTTGCTCCCTCTGGCCGGCCTTTGGATGGGTTATGAATAGTCATCTGGTTAATGCCTGTATTCGGAGGGCGAGTTACAACGCCGAAGGAGCCCCGATCGGATTGACGGGGCTTATGAGCCGAGGCTACGCGGCGATCGTGATGAGCCCGGAGAAGTTCGCTGTGGAATCACAACCTGGGATTGTGAAGAGCTGGTTAGAGGTTTCTGGGGGAGATGCGCACCGTATGACACGGAGTGAAGCTATGGCAGAGGCTTTCAATCTGGTTTTTGCAGGTCCAGGAAGCATGGCTGCCGTGTTGACAGCGGTACTATACCAATTAGGCCTACCCGAGGGCCGAATGTGGCAGGAGAAGCTCCGAGATGAGCCACTATTACTGCACGAGAGCTCGACAGACGCCTCGCAGTCGATAGAGCTGCAGGCAGTCATCAAAGAGACGATGCGCGTCCGTTCAGCCTTCCCTACAGCCTTTCCTCGGGTGATCATGCCTGGGGCTGAGAGTGCGATTCCTGGCCTGCACAGTCCCCTGCCAGCTGGGACGACTGTATCGGCCAACACGTATGTTCTGGGTCGATCGCGCGAAATCTGGGGAGACGATGCCGATCAATGGAAGCCTCAGCGATGGCTTGGTGATCAGGACCATCGTCGGCGCATGGAGAACAAATTTGTCGCGTTTAGCAAAGGGCCCAGGGGCTGTAGTGGAAAAGAGTTGGCGTCGCTTATTCTTGCCAAGGCTGTGATGGCGATCGCGCACCGGTGGAGAATCACATCTGCAGCTGAACTGCGGGGCAGGAGCTACCTCGAGATGCAGTATGACGACTGTCGGCTCAGCTTCACCCAGCTGTCGCCCGTCACATCATGACGGCTGTTATGAGTCCGTTTGAAGATATTGGGATTCCTTTTGTGATGTCGGGGAAAGCTGCTAGGTGAGATTGAGTCGGAAGCGCAAACGAAATCGAGTAGTGATGCCGTTTTGGGATCCCGCCACGGCGATGCTCCACCCACTTACGATTATATATGGAGCTCTGGAGCTACCCTGCCGATCACTAAACCAACTCAACTCATCATCTTCGATTTCCCCCCATTCTTTCTTTGTCCCAAGTCATTTTTCTTCTCCGGACAGCTTGGCTGGACTCACCTCTTGTTTCCCAACGATACTCCCAAGGCCCTACAGCCACGATGCTGTCCGGCAGTGCTCTGCCCCAGACCCTGGGCTCCATTACCACGACCAAGATCAATGAACTCGCAAAGCAACGTGATCTGTTCGATAATCAGAGACAAGAGATAGCAAAAAAAGCTGAGGAAGCTGTAGATCTACGCGAGAAAGCCCGAATTCTTCTGGAAGGAGTAACCAAAATCAAGGGCCATCCTAACGTCGCCATCGACCGTCACGACGTGGATGTCGAACACACCGGAGGCGAAAACACTTCTGTCAAGGAGTTATCCGAGGGCGCGGTGTACGCCAACATTCGTCGCTTTCTCCTTCAGAGCAACTATGATCCGTCAGTCTCGGAGCGCACCCTGCAAAGCTGGATCTCGAAGCTGGAACAGGAGCTTGAATTTCTGAAAACCAGACATGAGCATGCCTCTTTCTACAGCAAGCTGGTTACCCAATGGTTGGTAGATCTTGAAAGCGACCCTGCTTCAGGTGCGGGTTTCGAGAAAGTCGAAGGCGAAGAAGAGAGCGCACAGCGAAAGAAGTGGGAATCCTTGGTTTTCACCGAAACAGCCATCGACGCAACTGCTATCCGCGACTACCTTGATGGTATCTTCGAAACATCAACTCAGACACAGCAAGCCTTGAAGGGGCTCCGTGACCAGATTCGATCTTTTGGCACCGAGTTCATATCGAAGAAGACTTGGCTGAAAGCTAAGGATCTTGATTGGATCTCCAAATCTCTATTGAGCTCGGACTTGCTCACCAAGGAGAAAACCGTCGTTCTGAAAGAGTTCATGCGCAATCCTGCCGTCGCACAGGAGGTGGCGGACGTCCTGAACATGCGTCTCTGCTCCTTGGATAATTGGGTTTGGCCCAGTGAAGGTATTCCCATCGAGTGGCGCCGGCAGCTGAACGGAAAGTACCGGGTTTACATGGATGAGGAGCTGCTGGACAGCCTCATGTTCCAATACCTTGGTGTGAAGTGGTCCGTGGCCTTTCGATCTGCATTTGAGAAGTTCCTCGACACACCTGCGTGGAAATCTCCGCGCGATCAGATTCCCGAGGATTACGTGGTACGTCGGTCTCGGCTCAAGAGAGAAGAGGCTGTGGGAAGGTCTGGAGCGCAGTGCGTTCATGCATTTCGGAAGAATATGTTTAGGGAGGATTATTTCATGACCCAGCTTCCCAGCTCGGTGGAAGAGACGTCGGACCCCTACAACGACGAGGAGGCAGACGATGAAGAAGAGTTCAAATTGAAAAAGAGTGGCATGGAGATCAAGCATTCGCTTCTACACATCCTCATCACCGAGTCATTGATCCACAACTCCTTGCACGGACAATTCACAGCGATCAGATCGGACTTCGAATATTTCGGACCCTCACTCGCCCATGCCACCATTTCCACCGTGCTGGACTACTTCGGAGTTCCACAGAAGTGGTTGAATTTCTTCAACACTTTCCTCAAATCTCCACTTCAAGTCCCGTATGGGTCCACGGCCGCAACGTTGGTCCGGAAGCGTGGAGTTCCAATGAGCCATACGCTCTCCGACCTCTTCGGCGAGGCTGTGCTATTCTGTATGGACTTCGCGGTAAACCAGAGCACGGACGGCGGCTACCTTTACCGGCTACACGATGATTTCTGGTTCTGGGGTCACGAAGAAGCTTGCGTCAAGGCCTGGCAAGCAATGACAACGTTCGCCGAGGTAACGGGTCTCAAGTTTAATGAGGAAAAAACCGGAACGGCTCAATTCGTGGCAAAGGGGAAGACTGGAATTCACAGTCAGTCCTCGCTGCAACCGAAGCCGACAGAACCCGGTCCGTCCAAGGTACTGCCCCAAGGTGATATCCGCTGGGGCTTCCTGAAATTGGACCCCAAGGAAGGGCGCTTTGTCATCGACCAGGACCAGGTCGACAAGCATATCGTCGAGTTACGGCGCCAACTCAACTCTTGCGGGAGCATTTTTGCCTGGGTCCAAGCATGGAACAGCTACTTTGGGCGATTTTTCCCCAACAACTTCGCCAAGCCAGCAATGTGCTTCGGCCGCGACCACATCGAGACGGCCATTTCCGCGCTAAGTCGCATTGAGCAGGTCCTGTTTCCTAAATATTCCAGCGGAGTGACCGACTATCTCCGTGAGAAAATTGATAAGCAGTTCGGAGTCAAAGACCTTCCGGAAGGGTTCTTCTACTTCCCCGTTCAGCTTGGTGGCTTAGAGCTGCTAAACCCGTACATTCCGTTCCTTTCTATGCGAGAGAATATCAAACAGAGCCCCGAAGCTCGATTGCGCAAAGCATTGGTCGAAGACGAAGCGGAGTACCTTGTAGCCAAAGAGCGGTTCGACAGAGACGGACCTCTAAGCTCCAGCTACAGTAATGACGGGGTAAGATCGGAAACCTCATCGACACTGTCACTGGAGCAGTACATCCAGTACCGGGAAACCTACAGCCGACCCCTCCTGAAAGCCTATGAAGACCTGATTCGCATCCCGGACGAGGAAGGGGCCGACCAGACCGCAGGATTCCAGCGCTATCAAATGTTGTTGGATGAGGCATTCCAGGAGGTGAACAGTCGCAAGATCATCTCTGGAAGCTGGTGGTCCATGTCGCCGTACTGGCGATGGGCAGCAGAGCTGTACTATGAGGAAGTGACCAGCAGGTATGGGAATTTGGCAGCGGTCGATCAACAGTCCATGCCCTTGGGAGTGATCAAGACTTTGAGGGAGGGCAAGTTCAGGTGGCAGAGTTGAGCCTTCTCTTGAGACGGAAGGTCTAAGTTAATGTGATCAAAAACTCACTAATGAGCCGGAATGCAAGGAGTCTTTTTAATTGTTCGTTCATGCCCTGTAGTCCGCCTTGAAGCCATTTAAAAGTCGAAACAAGCGCTCTTTCTCCACCGCACCTCCAAGGGTCACGCTATATGACTTTGTGCAGAGGCTCGACACTTCAGCCCGGCTGAGATGGAAGTGCTCCGTAGTGAGAAGCTCATTTGACACGGCGCTGCAGAAGAATCCGACACGGTCGGTCTGAGAAAAGGTCAGCGACGTGCCCCACGAAGGAGACTACCTACCCGACGCCAGAGAGTAACTTTCACACAGATAGATAGAGCAAGGGCGATCAGAATCCAAGAGCAAGATCTCACACGATGCACAACTGGACAACCGGTCTTTCCCTTCTGACACGAATCACTAAGTACCCAAATGATGCTCCGCGAAACTCCCCTCCACAATCCCGGGGTGCACATCACACGACAGACAAAGCTCCAACCCCAACCTTCTCCTGAGTTGCAATTGATATGCCCCAGCACATGAACCACATGCCCCAACCGAGCGGGCCCGAAGCTCAGCAACGACATCAGCTCATCCTCGTCCTTCTCCTCCTCATCATTCCAATATACCCAATTGCAGCCGCAGCGACGACACCACCATCTTCCCCCAAGAACCTACCGCAGCACCCAACCCACGACCTAAGCCTAGCCCTCTTCATGGCAGGCCCATAAACCGTACATCGCCCTGAGTCGGATTCCGACAGACACCCACCGTGACCACACGCCCATCAAGCCCTTCATCACCTCCCCGCCTTCTCCTCAACCTTCGCAATCTCGTAAAAGAACCACAATTCCAAAACCCCACCGCACAACGCATCGATCTTTCCGGTCACAGCAACACTCCTCTCGCTCCGATCCACTGTCCAAATAAAATCTGTTTTAGTATGTGGCGTGGTGTGGTTGGTCCCTTCAAACCATGCCGGGCAATCGTCTCCGGTACCCGGTCCGCAATCAGGTATTCCTCGCGCGTGGGAAGTTCTGGCAAGACAATGGAGGCGCGGGATAAATAGGGCGGAGTTTGGGAGATATGATGCCTTCGTCGCGTGCGGAGCTCGAATATGTAGGGTGGTGGGTTGGGGGGGGAGGGTGTGTGTGTGTGGCAGCAAGGATGGATGTAGGGAGTGTCTCGTCGTGAGGGAGGTGGAGATTGTGCTATGCAGGTTGGAAAGAATCTTTCTCTTCCTTCATTTTCTCGTCGGAGGTGGCGAAGGGGGTTGGGTATCTTGGTTTTTGGTTTTCTTTTTGTTGGGGATGGGTTCCTTGTTTGTGGGGTGGAAAGAGTGATGATATTATAAAGGGAAGGAGCCAGGGTAGTCCACGTGTGCAGAGAATAGTCTACTTTTCCTTCAGGCATCACAATGAGGGGGAACTTCGACGCTGAACTAGCTCTCCAGGTCGTCTGACGGGCATGCTTCTGTTGCCAGGTCCTGGAGGCTTTGGCGGTTTATGCTGCCGCTTATGCGGTTGTGGAGCTGGTGGGTTTGCGGAGTTAGTGTCTGTGTTAGGGATTATTTTCTTGCTCCTTTTCGCTTCTTGTATCACAATGGGTAGGGCTTTGGGTGTGAGATAGAGGATGGAAAAGATGATTGAGAGGGGAGGAGGTTGATTGATCTCTACTAGGGAAGGAGGCTCTATACTTACCTCGCTTTGGGGAAGGGCTCGAGTGAACTCGAGATCAATTGGCCTGGAAAGACCCATGCTGATTGATTATTTCAATGGCTACCCTGAAGATATTCGCGAGATTGAGTGTCGTTGATGGCGCGGGCTGAAGTCGTGCGGAGGCGGGGAGCAAAACAAAATAGATGGTGGGGAGAGCAGGTGACCTTCTACTCTACGACTTTGTCAACAACAGTTCACCGCTGGCATGCGACGACTTCTAAAGCTACCCATGAGTATTGACATCCTTCAACATTTGAACAGCGCCTCTTCTATGCTTCGATGCGTATATTGTCATTTTTAACACGGCAAGCATACATAACACGTTATGTACGGACTGAAACCACTGCGGAAGGCCAGTGGACTTAAATCAACATGGAAGGCCCGTTTTCATGTGTCGCATCTCTGATATTAGAGCCTCAAGACCTGACATGGTACGCTGGTCCCAAGTTCAAACACGGCGGGTACCAGGGGGCGGCAGAGACGCGCAATTCCCGACTACTTGAAACCAATCGCTGACATGACATGCCATAACTCGTGCTTATCATGGACTCTCCCACACAAGCGGCTGAAGGCGCATCTCATCGCAGTTCCGCATCAGATGCGGCTCCTGACGCAGGCAATTAACCCCGGATGGTTACCAGGCGTACTGAAACACAAGCTGACCGTGTGAATGGGCCATCTCGTTTGATCGAAGTAGGATGGATCTGGAAAGGGAGACGGTAGCCTACCTACCTAGTTCCATAGCCCAGCTATAAAACTGCGGGGTTATTTCGGTTGTTCAGCCCTTCGTCAGGAATCCTCGTGCGGTGATGAAGCCGGCGATTCGTCAGCATAGCCGTTGAGACTCATTCCTCTTGAGGGCCGGTGCCCATGAGATCAAATGATCCCAGGCCACACGTGTTGACCACTGAATGGTCTATGGCTATAACCCAGTCTTCGTGGGTGTGCAGGGCTTTGGTGTCCTTGCGCAGACGTAGTATGTCATACTTTTCGACATCCTGTTTCCAATGTAGCTCATCAGGACATGTCCCACTTGAGATAGTCTCAGCAACAACATAGGAGACGATAGACACATTCGCCCCAGACTCGGGTTTCATGTAGATAGGCGTCATGTTGTTCAGGACGGCTGGTCCACATTACGGGTGGATTGACGAGAATGTCAGGAAGGGGATCGACCCCTATGCATCTACAAGCGAGAGACATGAAACTGACGAGGTAGTTGGTAAACCGAGGCCATCAATAGTCGTTAGTAAGACGGGAATTGCGTGACAACCGGCGTCATCCGGGTAAACAGGTCAGAGCTGAAAGTATTCGGTAACCCGGATACCCCGAGTCTCTCGATATGGCTAAGCCTCTTATCGAATCCGGAGCAGCGGATGGCAAACAGCGCTATAGTCCATGCGTTCCAGGAGTGGGCAAGTGCATGCAGAGAGTCAGTGATACAACCAACCGGTTGAAGGCTCTAATCAAGTGCAGGAAAGCGGGACACGTGTCGAGAACTAGCTCTTTTCACCAAGGTAATCATTGAAGGCTATTGATGCACTCGTAGATTAGAAGCACTTGGGGCCCCCCCTCCCGGGGAGGCCAAAACGGTTAGCATTTCCCGTGTGCTGTGCAGTAGTACAGCGTTCAACAAGGGTCGCCGAATCTGATAGAAGACCGTTCGGGATGGCCGCGCGCCGTCTTACTCGCCGTTGCTTGTGGGGTTGCAGCAAGGCATCGATGGCTGGGGGACCGTCGTTCCACGTAGGGCTTCCACACGTTCGCCGGACTTTCGCTAGATACATACAGGCCACACAGTAATTATTGTATAAGTAGTTGAAATGGGGAATATCCGGAACGGTCATGCGCCGTACGCTTCCGCAGACCCACAGTCAGTTCCCACACTACCTCTCGTCCAAGACTTCGAGTATCGTACGGACCTTGTTCTCGAAGGATTCGAGAAAGAAGATACCCGCCCAATCGTCGCTTGTGTGTTTCCACCCGGAAAGCCCTACCCTACGTTATTTTTAGTCCGTGATTGAAGTTGGGGTCAAGAAGGCAATGTGCCAATGTCAGTCAGTGGACGAGTGAGATGTGGGAACTTGTAAATTGCATCTGTGGCTCGGGTAGACCAAGCCATTCCCGAAATGAAGGGCCATTAGGCCCTGATGGCACAAGTCGTTTCAGTCGCCTAGCGTATCTCATCTAAGAAAGGGTGGATGCTGATACACTAGGAGGGAACAACGTCATTCGCACCGGATCGGCGGCCTTCAAGGCGAACCTAATGGGCATTCCCGCAACCACAGTCATGCCAGATCCAGCATTGGTTTGGTATGGGTTTGTTCTTCTGGAGTAAAAAGTCGAGAGGCCTTTTGCGCCTTTCCAAGTGATTGACATAAAATAAAGCAAGGGAATAATAACAGACAAGACTAGAACCTTAGCCGTGTAACAACCTCAACTGCCCTACCAAGAGCCGGAAGTCGGCAAGCACAGGAGAGGTCATGGATTGGTACAGGGTGCCCAGGACGTTCTTCATTGGCCTGTGTAGTCAGCTAGTCAGCATAACCGGGCCACGAGAATGTCGTTAGATTATGGCATTCCGTCATGATTTCTCCCGAGGAGACATAGTATCGCAGTCTGGATCGGAAGACACGGTTGTGGGCTCCGCAGCAATGACTCTTGCCACCGCGGTCGGCCAGCCTGTGCTGTAGTGTCCGGGGTATGTGGTAGTGGGAGTGTGGGACCAAAGCCAGGGTTACTCTCGGCAGGCATGAACAATTAATCGAAAAATCAGTAAGCATTCGTTCATAAAAAAAAAGTGCTGTTGCCAAGTCATGATGTCTCAGAACGGAGTGTCTTCGAGTTACTGCCATAGGGCGACCGAATGTAGTCACCGTCCCTAATCCGTGATGGACAGAGCGTGGTGTTGTATTCACTAAGGGCTCGTGGTAGCGAGACTCTGCCAATGTCGAACCGTTCAATCGAACGAGGTCCTAGCCCAGCAAGGATGGTCAACATGGATGGCCCTTTCAAGCTGATATGACCGGGGAGTTGAAATAAGCGGAGAGATGGCAATGGCAAAACCCTCCAATCTTCATTGGCGCTTACGGTAAATGACATGCATTGAGGGGAGAAGGGGGTGAGGATGTTTGCTTGTTGCATGGGCGAGGAGGAACAGTTCGACTATCAGCAAGCCACAACACATTCTTTGGCCGGTTCGTGAAGCTCGATGACGGTCTTGTTGTGATCAAGACCAGGAAGGGTACTCGCCGAGTGATGACAACCCCGCAGCATGCTCTGTGCGACCAAGGATTGCTAGGATGGAAGAAGGTTGAAGCATCGAAGACGCATCGAAGCGTTCCGGCTGAACGAGGCTCGGCTGAGCCCCGGCTTCTCCCTCCGCCTAAGGCACGCTTATCTCTCTGTTGGGGAAATGTGGTGCATTATTACTCCCAGCTCTCGAGGATAGATACTAAACAACTATTTCAAGCAGGAGCGTCCGCCAAGGTTCGCACCAGACGGTAAAGTTGCAGTTTACTTAGTACAATGCGAAGACGATCCAAGCAGATCGGCTTCAACAGCAGGATGCCTGTATGTAAGTAGCAACGGAAGGATCTTCGACTATGGGAAGAACAAATAAGGTACGGCAAATGCTGCTATACCGTCAAAGTCAAATGGAGCCCAGGGTGTAATTTTGCAAACCCACTCGTGTGGAAATTGTGTAAAGGAATACCATGATGACGAAAGGCCCCCCAAGTTCAGGAGGCGCAACGTTCCATGCAGTTAGGAACAATGCTTGGCGGAGCACAAAATATCTTTCCATCTTTATCAGCATACATGAGGTATCATGATGTAGGGATTCCGACGCTCTCCATAGCCAATCCATCCAGCTTCTTCTCGGCCACGAGAACTTCGAGTATGTCATACTTTTAGCTACTAGGCTCTATAGGCGCCGTCACAAAGAAGATTCGAAGAACATGAGCCATTGAGGGAAAACAAAGCAGCCAAAGCAGTCATGACAGACAGACTGCCAGAGA